TAGACAGTTGCGCGTCTATTTCACTATAATCTCGTACTTAGCTCCATTTACCGTCCCTGCTCTTGAGCACATGGTGGACTCCGCAAAATGGATGGTCATGCAACACACTAACTATAAATACTGCACAATTTATGCATGTATTCTGCGGTAATCTCTGATGAGGGGTTCAAGACAGAATCCGAAACGTCGGGTAAATAAACCACCCATTCCACCGATCGCATCTTCTACTTCTGAACTGCTTCCTGGAACTCGCCTTTTCGTTTCTATTGGCAACTGCAACCCCCCCTGCATGACATTGATAACGAATAGAATCGCACATCTGTTTAAATTCGCACAGGAGATCAGTACATAATAGCAAGGTCATTGTTCACTGCCCAGGTAACAGACAATGAAGATGTTACATTTGAATGTCAATACAAGGCAGAGAAAAGGAGGAATGTTAACACAAAACGTAGTGGTGGGTAAATCTAGGCCCGAAGGTAACCAGGGCCTCCTATCGATCTGCAGTGATTATTTTGTATGGTCAAGTTCAATACATATTTATTAAAAAAACTTGCTCGTTTTGTTGTTTTTTTTTCCAGCAGCATTCAGTGAAACTGTTCCTTTTATAATTTTAGAGCACTTAGATCAATTTTAGTCCATCCAAGACTGGTTATAGTAGTATCATACTTGTCGCTGTATTTAGAGTTTACATGAATTTTGTTTGCATTAACTTTAATTGCCTCTGACTTATGTCTCATCGGACCACAATGCGACCTCCGACACCAGACAAGTAGAGATAAAAAGGTAGCCTACGGGCCTATTAAGATAAGTGTAGACAGACGCGTGGCGTCACATGGGGGTTTACATGCCAGCCTCACTCACTTTACATCCGACGCTGACCAGGCATTTGTGGCAATTAGTGAGTCGAACGCCAAGTGTCAAGCTAGTACCGCATCAATTAAGCCCCAAGCGGTGGCTACAGAAATGAAAAATTATTACACACACACGGATGACCACTATGAACTATAAAAACCATGCAGCCTGGGCATATCTTCAGCCCATCTGCGCATGATCATGACTACCTTATCATCACCTCTGATTAAGGATCCCGGAGGGAATCCGAGACGTCAGGCAAATAAAAGTCTTGTTCCAGTGATCGCATCTTCTTCTTTTGAACTGCTTCCTGGTACTCGCATATTCTCTACTATTAGGGAATATATCATCCACGTATCGTCTGTATAGTGTTGTCTTATTAAGTTTCCATGACACTTTTTCTTTTAAGTGACCCATAAAAATGTCGGCGAATGTAGGCCTGAGTGGACTCTCCATTGCAGCTGAACTAGTATTCCTCACTCCAAATAAGTGTCTTCCAGTCAACCGGACAAAGGATGCCTTGCCTTTGCAAGCCACCCCCAACTGTGTCTAGGAATTAATGTGCACTTGCGGATGCAAGTAAATTGGCCGTATGCAAAGGAAATTGGCAACCAGGGCCGCTAAACATTTGCCTAATTGGCTTTTAAAATAAGAAAACAAATTGCCACGTTTCTCCATTACAAAACACTTGCTAGACAGTGGTCACTTTGACGACATAAACACTTTAATCATTAATTAAAATGTGCATCCTGACGCAGTCCGGGGGAAAACTATGAGTCCGTGGATTCGGCTGTAACAGTTGTGTGTGTGAAATATGATCACCGACAGCATAGTCGAAAATAAGGTGCACTGACTTCTCGGTAACGTTCGCTGCCCTCGGGTTACTTTTTACCCTACATTTTTGCAGGTTATTTGTGTTCTGTAACACGCCAAATTTTTCTAGCGGTCTACCAATCCTTTTTGCTTAAAATGGGACTTAGCGAATACCAACTGAAATATCTAATAACAGACCGAAGTTCGTACTTCTATTTTAGTAGCCATGATAAGCTTTGAAGAGTTTTTCGACCGCAGTTCTGAAGATTGGGTTCCTGCAAGTTCTATTGATTGTTTAGTACGTAATTTAATAGCCCTAACATAAAAAAACTGCGGCGTGTAATTTCTCTGGCATGTTACTTATGATTTGCTGCGACTCAATATTCCAGTGAACCTGCTTGTTATGCACGTATTTGAAGATTGCGGCGGGCACCATCCCTTACCTAGCAAACGATACGTCGCACTGGGTCACTTCTCAGTACCTAAAACTAGTTGATACGTCGAGAAGTGTAAAGATACAGAGGAACTTACTATGTTCGTGATGGAAAAAAGTCGGGCTTTTGTAATTGAGCCGCCATTTTTTCTGGCCTCCATTCACACAAAAGTGTCTACATATGCACCGGTTCGCCTATTTTGTGAATTTTTTACGAATTTTTTAATCGTCTTTATTTATTCAAACCCAATTAAGGAGGCCATATGCACACTACGCCCACATCGTTTTGAAGGAGGACAAATTGCACGTGAATTATCCGCCTTATTCACCGACAACTGTTCATGATGTCGACCGTTGCTATCTGAGGCCATTAGGCATCGTTTGTGATATTCGGGTGTTATGGGTTGTGCGTACCCAATTTTATTTACGACTTTCCTTGCTTGCCTTTTTCGGAAAGAATTATTGTTATCAAAGCTATTGAAGCATCATAATAGGTTACAAAGATTATAATTAAAAAAGCATTAAAACATTAATTGATGGAATCTTTTTACTGTGTTATCCAAACAAGGTGGAGTGCGTACAGCCGTCAGTAAGTATATACAAAGGCAAACTACTATGCAATACTTTTGAAGAAGTAAATCTTAAATTTAAAGCACAAAAATGGGAAAATAAGTCAAGCATAATACTAGGTGTTCTATCAACGAAATTTTCAAAATATCAGAGTAGAGGGATTATCATATCATCTGAACGAGACAAATCTGCTAGAAAACTGAATAGACGTACCTTCATACCCATTGTTTATCATGTGAAAATTATGCATGACCAGCAAACAGAATATGTATCACTTAAGGTAGTTTGCGCGAATGAATTTGAATCACTGACCACATTAAAAGTCACAGCACAAGTTAGAAGGCTGATAATATTAGTCCACAAGAATCTCAAATCGGACAGATCCCTCATTACGTTCAAAGCTAACCGGAATATTTTTTGCAATGAGGTAACACTTGACCCGAATCAGAGTGTTCCGTCGCATTCCGGAAAACTCTGAAAATACCAGGGGCTGGTGATAGCAGCCCTGATTGAGGTATGGAAAGAAGGCAGCGTGGAAGCTTCCATTGGTTGTCTTCGGTCGTCTCTGACCCGTGAAAAAATGGTCCATGTCATAGTAGCGAACCGTACCCATGTTCAGGGTATCAACCTCTGTCTCACCCTCACACTTCACTAGGACTCCCGTGGCGAATTCTACGGGTTCCGGCAACCAACCGTAGATGCGATTCATTTTGAGTGCAATGCACGGACTCCCCGATGTGAAGCCATAACTGTTGGCGAGATTGCAGGGTCCAGCAGCATTGAGATCAAAGGCACAAGGTCGTCGCGTATTTACTACATCGGCCCCAGTACCGTGGACACAATCCTTCATCATCGCACATCGTTTCTTTTGGTAGGCATAGAGGAAGGACAGCATTTGATCAATCAGTTGAGCATCTGAGAGCGGCTCATAGGGTCGCAACTGAATCAGGCTGGTAAAGACATTGGGGTTAGGTACTCGACTCAAGCCTGGATGCATCTGCAACAGGCTCTGCCCGCCTGTGAGTTTCGGGTATTCTGCGGATATTTGAAAGTACATGAACCAATTGAAGTAGCCCCAGGAGAAGCCACCTAGGAGGGCGTAGAGGACAAGAAAGTAGAGGCAGAGTTTGCACACCCGTGCCGCCGGGAAACGCTCTTCCTGGGTCTTCTGTTGGTCCTTCGCGTAACGCCAGATAGAACGGCTGGTCTCCAGACGCCCAACCTCCGCCAAGAGGTCTTGTATGGAATCAAGAGCGAAATTCGAGTCGGTAGCATATCGGTAAGACATGCTAGCGCATTAACAGCACACAGCCAGCTCTGGACGTCCTCTCTAAGTGCTGATTTGGAAGACACAGCGGTG